CCAAATACGTCAATAATTGCTTCAAGTAACTTAGTAAAGGAAAGATGAACAATGGTAACTAGAACTTGGACTGAAGACTTTGACAATTTGTTGGACACTCGAGATGAAAAATGACTCAAAATAACAAGAAAAGCAATGATGAGTATGAGATAGACAGGAAAGAGTAAGCTCAGTCCAGCCTTCCATAGCTCAGTCATCCCATCATAAAAGCAAAAAGGAAAGCCAAGATTTAAATTTAACCATGCGATGAATAATTTTGAAAGCTTAACAAAGAATGACTCCTTACCACAGTCACTGCATGGCATGCTTAGATATCTCATGATTCCAATGTTAGCAGTTTGAGCATAGAATATAATACCATTAAGAGTACCAGTAGTTAGTGTTAGTCTAAAGGTGTATAATAGAAACACAAGTAGAGGACCGGCTAGTAAATATATGATTGATGTCAGCGGCCACCATACACTAGTACATGACTTACATTCCCTAAAACCAAAGACTACACTGTAATTAGTAATGCACTCACCACAAAAGGCACCTGTTCTAGAACCATAACATAAAGGTATTGTATCAGAGGTTACTGGTGAAAGGAGGTACGGTACGATCCACTTTTGTTAACTTTCAATAAGTCAAATTGAGAGCCAGTGTTACAATAGCTTGGATTACAGTAGGCAACACCAAATCCTCCTTTTTTTGCATTAGTCTCACCAATCCATAGATGTAAGTCAAAAGGTTTGGAGAAAGCATTTTTCTCAATGTCACATGAAATTTTCTGTTCCTTGAACTCGTTGATGTGCCCAAAAACTTGAGAGCAGACACAAGCACGTTTTGTTTGATGCAGAATAAAACCAATGGGGCAGTCATTCATTTGAACTTGCACTTCAAAAACTTTATTTTGTTCTGTGATAGTGAAAAGCAACATTGATGACTTGTTAAATGTTGATTTATCAGTTGTGTGTATTGTGAGATTCATCATTGTGCAGTTTTTGCTCCCTTTAATAACTATTGACCCTTGACCTGTTGAGAACTTCCAGTTAAGTTTTTGCATTTCCACACTTCCAACAGGTATTAGTGTCACAGTATCGTAAGTCAAACTATTATTGTAATCATGAATACTAACTGGCATATGTAGTGAGGCCCCAGGATAAAGTTGTGCTTTAAAACTTGTTTGATCGTTGCAGAAAAAAATTGATACTGCCTTTGAAGAGATATCTTTTGGGGATAAGTTTTAAAAAATTTTCCAGTAAAAATTTTGGCGAGATGATTCATTATGTTCTCCTGCTATAGTGCAGTTATATAGGTTTGATGAGTATATAGCATCACCAGCAAGTGTGGCAGTGTTATTAGCAAAGTATAAATTGATATCAGTTTCACTAACACTGCTTGTGTTGAAATGCTGAAATGTA